AACCGCCAGATCGAAGGGTCTTCCTTTTCCCCTACAAAAACCTTCATTAGAATAGTGATTCTTCAGTAGACTAACAGCTAAAGCTTTCGAAAGGTGATGTCGCTGTGCCATGCGGTGTTGCATGACCTCGGTGGCAAGTGCGTTTGCGTGAGTCCGTGCCATTGAGGGAAGGAAAGCCTGCTGGTGTAAGCGCGGCGTGTCATGGTGGAGTTTTGGGGAACCTAATAAAAAAAATACCCCCAAAATCGACCATGTTGGTAGTTTAGTAGCGGTTTGAAAGGGCGGCAATTTAAAACCAAATATAAACCGAATTTAGGGGTTCGGACGTGGGGTTTTTTTAATTGGGGAGTGTTTATTAATAGGTACTCGGGATTATTTGGAACCGCTAGTTCTTATTGTGGTAGCTGGAGCCAGCGGGATTGGCCAAAAGGTGTTTGGCCACATGATTGAACTGCACCCATTTTCCACAATGCAGCCATATTTCATGTATATATATTATATATATATACATATAGTTAAACCCGAGCCCATTGGTCGTGAAAAATTGAACCAATATTCATATATAATTGACACGTTTGGTTGGGACAATCCAGCATTACATTGCAAGACTCATGCTCCGCCTTCGTCAGAAGTGCAAACAATGTTTCAAACCATTTTCGCTTCAGATCCTCATGATGTTTTTTGAGACCGGAAAGAAAAGCACTAAGGCTCCCACCAAAAAACGCATCAAACCGATCTGCTCCCGTCACCCAAGCTGCAAATTGGCCTCCAAAAAATTGACAATTGAGTCAACTATAGACTGGTGACATGACGGCCCGTTCTCGCGTTTCGCACCCCCCCCCCCCGTTTCACGACGTGGAAAAACAAGGGCGTCGATCCGAGCTCGGAGCTGCGGGCTGCGCTCCAAGGCGTCCTGATGGTGAGGCGATCGTGCAATTCCTCCCAGAGCTGTTCCTTCAGCAAGGGCTCGGGTGGAGACTTGGTCCAAGAGGCTGAGCGTAACTGAAAGGCTGCCTGCAGCTGCGAGGGACCCACGATGGGCGACCCGGGTGAAGGGAGATGATTTCAATGAAACCCCCAGTGAGTCTGTGACCCGGCAAAAGCGCTGAATTGGATGAATGAAGGGGTGTTGATCAAGGTGGGAAGCTGAGCATTTGTTCGGGGTGCTTAGTGTTGACCCACACATCGCTCGAGTGCTCAGGGATGTTCAGGGTAGAATTGAACAACCAATGCGCTGGACCGCTGGACATTGCTGGATTGCAAGTACCTGGCATCAACATGTTGCTTGATCATGGCCAGCCAGAGAAGTGTCCGGGAGCATTTCTGATCCAACCGAAAGCAGAAGAAAGCCCACCTGAGTTTTGATAGAGGCATCATGATGAAGACCTACCCCATCCTACCCCCAAAAGGGAAATGCAGTTGGCTGGATCCTAAATGAGTCAGGAGCGTGTAGTAGAAGCAGTCGGACTTGGCCCACGGGAGCTGCACGGAGCCAGTCTCACCCAGTCTCCACCCAGTCTCCATCAGCCACAAATCGTCTGAAGGGCGTAAGTGTGATTGAATGTTCCACCCCAGCCTGCTGGTGGTTTACCAGCGATCTTCTTACATCATCCCTTTCAAACTGACTGGTCCCAGAACCACGGCTATGAACATCCAGACCCACTGCCAGGTTGTGCACCTGACTCTGGACTGGACGAGTTTCTTTTTTGTTTCATGCCAATCAACCCCCTAGGCCGTGGCTAGGCGGTTGGGCGCTATATGGCAATGGCTTGGGCTCACGCGTGGCCTGCTTCCTCGCAGCACTCCACGGATCCTTCTTCACCCACGGCCTGCTTTTGGAGCGCCTGTGTTGGCACAACACAGAAGGTGGATGAAGGTGGTGTGTTTTTTTCATGCGCTGGAGGGGTTTGCGAGAGTTGTAAGCAGCATGGAATGGGGGGTGACTGCTCGTTCAAAGCAAATACTGCGTTTGCGAATCTGGCATTGTGGAGTAGACAGGTTAGCCGTGTACAGCAGTGTACATCAACGATCAGATGGGTTCATGAAAGCATATGAAAGCTGCACTCCAGGGACTCCAGGGAGGGTTTTTATCTCGTGGAGGTTTTCAGATCAGCAAATGCCGGAGCGAGATTGATATGATTGATAGCGGTGCCAGGTTGTACCTGACTCACCCAGCTTTCCAGGCCTACTGGGCCTACCTCATGATCCACCATCAAAGTCACGTGGCAACCCAACCATCGATCCAGATCTGCCTAGGACCCCCTGGGCGGGCTCCTACGCGCCGGGAGCCCCGCCCTTGCCCGAGCCGCCCAAGCACACTGCGCTTGCCACCATGGGTTGCAACGCGGCAGGGGAGAGCCGGCGACTCGGCGCGGAGGATGACTCGGCGCGAAGCGAACGACTCGGCGCAAGTCGCAGGGCGGGGGGGAAGCTACAGGGGTGGGATTTAGACACTCATATGTATACGGCGTATACACAGAAAGTGAATGGAGATGGAGGGCACCTGACCGAAACTCCCCTCCAATTCATATAAGAATTTATAAGAACGGTATCTATCTATCTATCTATTTATCTATCTATCTATCCATCCATCTATCTATCTATCTATCTATCGATCTATCTATCTATCTATCTATCTATCTATTCATATTCGGTTGTCTCGTGTTATTCATCTGATGGCGCTTTGGTTGCTGTCCTTCGACTCAGCTGTCCGAGCTTAGCTTGAGTCCAACGTATAGGATAAGTGGTGGATGTGAAGGTGAGAAGTGGATGCTTTCCACGTGCCCATTTCTGCTTGATCAAGCCGCCCTCAATATTCTGACAGTCACCCGATGTCACCCGATGAAGACCACGGGCCCTCCAGTATCCTTGTTAATTATTTTAAGGTAGGCTACCATCATTTATACACATCATCACTGACACATGCGTCGTGCACGCCGCGTTTTGCCGCGAGGTTCGGCAGCCGAGAGCTCCATTTGGCAGCGGCCGCCTTAGGACAGAAGGCACGGCAGCTGCTCCCAGGCGAGGGGTGCTGAGACGACCGGTGGAAGAGGTGAAGATAGGCGAAGAGTGGACTTGTTACTAGTAGTAGCTTCTTGCTACTAGAAGAGATGGCTTCCAACCTACTAGCGATGGCCTCCACCTAGTAGCTTCTTTCTACTAGATCTACTAGTAATGCCAGGAGCTACGTTCGTAGCCTCCTTGCTCCGTAGCGATGCCGCGATGCCCTTTGCTGCGTTCGTAGCCTCTGGTTACAGGAACACTGCCCTGTGGCAGCCTGTGGGTCCTGGTAGACCGTGTGCGTCAAGGATCCGGTTGAACCCGTTTTGGCCTTTGTAGAACAGCCACTGACGCCTACCCTTGTGTGCTAAGGGCCACTTGGATTCGCAGGAGCTCACCTAATTGGTGGTTGCCTACTCTGAAATCACTTTCAGTACATAAAGCTACAGTCCCTTAAGACCTACTAAGCTTTGCATTGTTTTGCTCTTTTAGGACAGTCTCCTACTCACTGCCTTTGATGTGCATGATGCCTGAATGTAAGGGCCACCAAGCACAGTGGAAGGGTGTCACCTCCTTCCCAACATATTTGCTTGTTTCGGAGTGGAGGGTGGGAATCGTGTGTTCTTTTGCTAAAACAACTTATCTAAAACAAAAAACATGACAGCCCAGACTGGACATTCATGGAATGGATCTTATCAAAGCAGCATCTTATTGTTGTTGGTTTTCATGTGCCGGGACCTTCAAAGACCTTTTGAGAACCCAGAATGAGGTCACTATTCTACTGCAAAGAGGTCACGCACTGAAGGTCCTGGTTTTCGGCCGCCAGGTCGCCCGGAAGCTGCGGCTCACTTCGCCTACGTGCGAGGCAACGAAGACCTGATCCAGGCGAACCCGAACTGCTTCGCGCCAAGCGCGGGGTGTTTGGATTTGGTCTGAAACCCCCTCCAGATGCAGGGTTTTGGTGGGGAACTCCGAGTTGGCTCAACAAGTCAAGTCTTTGGTTTTCCCATGATCAAACCGGCGAGCCGCGGCGAGCCGGAATTCTGTTCTTGGAGTATATATTGAGGTTGGCAATTTCAATCATCGTCGATTCGGCCTTTTGGGGTTGTTTCAAGACCTGCTGTACATGTCCGTCCTTTTTGGGGATGTGCCCGCACCTTTGCCCCGATCCAAAGGCCGCCTCAAAGGCCGCGCCCGCGTTGTTCATGATCGTCGACTGAGGCCTATGAGGGTCACGTTTTGATCCTCCATGGAGAGGTGGACCACCTGGTACCGCCCGAGCACGCGGTGCGCCTGCACCGGGCAGCGCGACGTGCCAAGTCCAGGCACGACTTCCCAGAAAAGCGGCTTGGGGGTAAGCATGTACAGTAAAAATTGATTAAACTTGAGAACATTGTAAGACTATTGATTGAGTATATGCTTTAAAGGTTGGGTGATCAGATTCGATCAGTTTCTTGGGAGGCATGTCTGACATCAACACGACCGGTTCCAAACATCAAGCTTTGGTTGTCTTCACATCCAGCAACACGACCGAGTGAATCTCATATTTTCTGCACGTTCTTAGAGTTTTCGGAATATAATCTACGCCGCTTGGAAGTTCTCATCTCCGGCTGCAGCAGCAGGCACTTGCTTCTGGCCAAGGGCAAGCGGGCAGATTCCCTGCCGGGCAGCCCCGATTACGCGACGGCCTTGCACGGCTTCTTCGGGGGATCAAAGAGTTCGTGTGACACGTCGACGGACCGTGCAATCCAAAGGGGGTTTGGCATCCACAACATTCTACCGCTACAGGTCCAGCCCGACCAAGTAAAGCCTGGTCCGTAATACTTCAGTAGGAGTGTGTATAACCGTATAACCAACTCCAGTAAAATGAGGTCTTTGACGACCTGTATAAGTAGCATGGGACAGCATCGGGTTTGTCCTCTCCATGGGAGAGGAGTTCTCATGTTTGTGCTGACATGGATGTTTGTTCACAACATCGCCAGCGTCCGCCTCCGCTCCAGGAGACCTCCACACGCGGGCGGAAGCGAGCTTGACATGGCGGACGGCAGCCAAGGTCATGGTGAAGAATGTGTGGATTGGATGGTGAAAAACGTGAGGTCAAGGGTTTGGAGTTTAGATGAGTTTAGTTTTGTCCTTAAGGTTCAACCGTAGCACTGGTACTTTTCATAGTGACATAGTGCTACTGTAGCTGCTACGGATTTTCAATGGTTTGTCAGACCATTGGGAGGAACATTCCTAGCTGGCCTGGATGGCTTTTCTCCATAATAGTCGTATACTGTAACAGCCCATCATGATGTGTTTCTCATTGTTGTTTTTCCCTGATATAGACATCTTACCACAGAGCATCTACGCAGATCCCTTCAACGTGCATGGAGTTCGGTGCCCGTTTCACACCTCCACGTTTCACACCTGGGACTTTCCATCGACCGGACCAGGTCATTGCTCCGACCGGTCCGGGGGGCCCAGGGACCGAGCCGGTCGGTCCGGTGCCATGTCGAACGACCGGTCGGCCCCGTGGCAGTGGACACTGGCAGCTTCTTGATAGACAAGGATTTTGCTATACCTGACTCTCCTTGCATCTGCTGAACATCATGTTGGGGGTGTTTCAGAAGATAGTTGTTTTGTATTCGATGTTACAGTTTGTTACAGTTGTTTTACAACAAAACTTCTTGTAAGGCCTGAATCAAAAGAACTTACCCTACTGTGCCGCGGACTCCTCCCAAAAAAAGAGAATCTACTGTATCTACTCACTTTGCCTCAGGAAAACGTGCCATTTACATCCATTTAAAACATACACGGTCGGGGTGGTTCATTAGCACGCCTGAAGCATCCTACCCAGGGCCATTCCTACCAGGAAAAGTGGAGAATGAGAGTGGATTGCGCAATCCCTAAATTTGGTGGATATGATTATCTAAACCACCAAACTATATGACAGTGGATTGCGTTTTTTTTCACATGAGTTTCGATGGACCCCCGGCCCGGCTGCCGACGGCGCCCAGCCACCCGACACCCTTCAGAAACGGTGGAACTGGAAGGAGTGCAGCTCCCACCCGCCCAACGTCGTGCAGCTCCCAGGAAGGCTCCGACGAGTCTTGCAGCAAGCGGTCGCTCGGCCGGCGGCTCCGGGGGCAGTGTCCGAGCGGCGTGGCGGTTTCTGAGATCCGCGGCGGAGCGGTTCGGAGGGGTTTGGGGGGGGCGAAAAGGTAAGGAAGAGCTGCAGAGTCTGGAATTTCTGAGGATTGTTGGGTGTTTTTGGATGATCTTGTTAATTAAACATGTTGTTTTGGAGAGTTGCAACATCCACAGACACTCAGACACTCCATATTGCTCCATGTATGGCCTACTTAGTTGCATGGGTTGGGTTCAGGAGTTGTAGCATACAGCATACACATTCCAGTCACGTTAGTTCGTCTCCAGATGAGGGACTGGCAGTGGCTTCAGCCGCTCTCCTGGCCAGGCAACGGCAAGAGGAATTTTTCAAAAGGAGCCACCGGATTCGGATCAGTAAACTTCCATCGCTAGAGAAGATCATGAATTGTTGACTGTTGATGGAAGAAAACAACCAATCCCTGATCAAGCCTGGAGATGTTGAACCCAAGTTGGAAGTTGGTTTTTATGTTGTTTTTCATGTTTTGACATCAGATCCTTTGGTCGTTTCGGACCTGAGTCGGTCTACCACAGTTCGTCGGCACTCCACCGACGAGCGGCCACGGGCCGGTGGAGTGGATGCTCTTCCGGCGGGCCCAGGCGGAGCTAGTACGGCGCCAGCGGAGACTCGAAGCTGCGGAAAAGACGGAAAAGGATGGAGTTCAGATGGATTGTATTTTGATGCATGTGGGAATTTGGGGTGTTTGTTACAGGGGTCGCTCAGGTTCCAGGTATGTTGGCAGGTTCACACGGGTGTTTAACGGTATACGATAGTTGCCGAAAGCAAAACCCTCTCGTTGTTTGAGCCTCCAACCTTGGTCATCAGATGTCATCAGGTACTCCTTCAGATGGGCATTACACCTTTGACCTTTGACGGCTATGCGATCAAGAGCGTCAAGCTGCACCAAGCTCAGCAGCACCAGCTCGCCCGTCCCGGGTAGTGATCAGATGTCGGCGTCGCCAAAATGTGACAACAGATGTGGCAGGTGGAGGCATGGATGTCCTTTTAGTTGAGTTTGCATAAACAAATAGAAGGGCTAGTAACTATATACTGCCCAAAAGTGTGACTGTGAGACAGGAGTTTTGGAACATGTGGCAAAATCAGAACAGGCATCTCACCGTGGAGGAAAAAAAGGTTGCCACGTGTTGTTACCAGCCATCCATGATCGGATGGTTGGATGGCCCTTCTAAAAAGGGTGAAGGTTTATTCTTTTGAGTACTACATAATTCAGAGCCTAGTGAGGGCATCCTGCACCAGAGAAATATATATATATTGATACAAAAAAGACCTCGTATAATTCAATTTCATTCACAAGGTATTGCCCGTCTCTGGTGGTGCTGGAGTTCTTCCCAGTCAAACTGTGGTCGGACATCCAAGGGGGGGTCGCATGAAACCGAAGACGGGGCCTCATCTCCGAGGTGGGGCCTCATCTGCAGAGACCTGCTGGCCTGTTGCAGAGACCTGCTGGCCGTCTCAACACTGACTGTTTAGGCTTTGGGCCTTGCTAAATGGCGAATGAGAATACAGGGCTTGTGTGTGTTTTCTTCTCACCCGGGTGTTATATTATAAGAAGCTTGAGGTGTTATAATGTGTTATATAACTTGTTTGGGTGTCTCCATGTATTTCTTCTCCCCCGGGTGTTGTTCGGGACGATCGGTGCGCCGTGCACCACTTCATGAGTTGACTTCCGGCACAGCTGGGCCCGCCAGGCGTGCTTTTACTTCCACAGGGACTCCACCAAGGATCGCCGGTGGGCCAGAACGAGGTGAAGCAAAAACCGATTCTTCTTTGAGACTCCAAAGAGGTCAGGCACCGAAGGTCCTGATGTGACCAGGCTTTTTTTCATGAGGATGGACGAACTTGGCAACGACCCCCGTCTACACTCCTCACTCACATGGAAGTGGATGGCGTGGTCCTGAAAGGACTGCTTTCCTTAAACATGGGGTTGCCTGCCTCCGAAAGAGGTCCGAAAGAGGTCCTTTCGATGGTCGCGGCCGGCGACCGCGGGTCGCGTGAGGTCTTTTGCCCAAAGTGTGGCAACGACACGGTGGTGCGAGTTCCCATCCTCGTGGATCAGGCCATGTTCGCAGAGCGTCCGGGAACTTGCGCAGAGCGTCCGGGAATGGGTGGCAGTTTAAGGGAGAAATCAGGACATGTTGAAACAACATGAGTGCGATAAGTGAGGGTTGACGGTGTTTTAGGACGTTGGGACAATGCTGCGCAGTACCTTTGAACTCAACACCCATGACTAACACACTGTGTCGGGAGGCTGTTCTGCTTTGGTGTCGAGGTGAGTTGTTTCTCTTGGATGCTTTGGGGATGTGAGCCCCTCATTCCTGTTGAATGAAGATTTCACTTCACTCCGGACTCTGGCTATAGTTTGTGCTTCCTTCACGCAGGCCATCTTACAGCTTTCCAGCTACTTGCAGCTACTTCCAGCTTTCCAGCATGTGACCTAGACACGACAGCTGCCTGTGGGTCACCGGGCAGGCAAATACGTGGGTCCCCCGGGAGTCCCCCGACAAGGAAGGGCGGCTATGGAACCTCATGGATCGTGGTGGCTTCTGGTGTAAAACAAGGACAAGGTGTGACTAGGACAGGCAATGGACCCCTGTCGAGAAAGAGACGCTACACATGTGAGTCCTGTGAGATGTATCTTTGTAGGAATGCCCTTTCCCAGCTTTCCCCGCTTCTCATTGCGTGTATTTTCCCCAAGCAGTGTGGACACACTTGGGGTTCTTACGATACTAGTTAAACTCTGGGATTGATCGATGGCAAATGTGATGATTTTCCAGAGATCTTCGATGTGCATTTTGACTGCACAGGCTCGCACAACATGGTGGTCCTGAGCTGGTTCTTTCCTTTCACTGCGCTCTTGTTGTGGTGCCGTGCACATTCTCCGTTCACTTTTGGCAGGCGCAAGGGAATCCTCATGCTTCGGTGGTCTGAAGTCGGTGCAGGAGATCGGAGCCGTTGTGCATCGGAGCCCTTTGGATTTCGTGGCAGGCGCCGCGATTTGCTCTGATTTTGTGGCAGCAGAGAGTGTTAAACCGTGGAGTGTGGCTGGTTTTCTAGCGCAAAAGCTGGCATCTCGAACGCGTGGTTGAGAGTGCTTTTGTTGGGGAACGCTAGCAGGGCTGCGCTCTGTGAGCCATGATGCGGCACTTTGGACCGCAAAGTGCAGATTTTGTGATATTTGATGCTTTGTCATGCAAAAGATCGCTGCTCCAGTGCTCCAGTAAGTTGTGCAAAGTGCTGTGGTTCTACTGAACATTGTTTAGGGCCTCCTGCCGGGATACTTGCTCTTTATCAAATGGGATCAAAATTTGGTTGGGTACAGAAAATCTAGGTATGGGCCCCGCCTTCGGGGGTCCATGCAAACATGTTCCATACCCTATAGGACTCCTGTGCCACGCGCGAGAAAACAGATCGGGGTGTTTTGGGCCCCCCCACCCGGACCCAGGCGAAGGTCGATCTTTGTCCCCCGCCAGGATGGGGTGCCGACGGTGCTCAACTCCGGACGCAAGTTGAGGCCGGTGGCGGGACCGAACCGGGGTGCAAGGGACCAAACGGGGGCGGCGAGAGATCGGAATTGGTTTGTGCGTTTTTCTTGCGTTTCATATGGAATGGATTCAATTCCAATGTTTCTATTTTTTTCTGGCATGGTGTCAGCGAAAAGTGGATTCTTAGAGGGTTTGGACTCAGAATTGCAGTCGGAACTGGAACACTTTCCCGTTCGAACATCAATCAACACTTGCAACAAGCAGTGGCTTTCCAGATGAGTCCAGGTTGCTGTGTGGGCTTCAATGGTGGGTGTGGGGTCGCTGTTTGCATTTTTCGGCCCAGGACGAAAGGCACCGTCTTTTCCATGCCCAAGCCGCAGGGCGGACGGGTGTGGAAGCCGATCTTCGCCGAGGACGTTGGAGCGGATGGTAGATGAAGGGGAAGGGTCGGAGGGTGGGGAGCTTGGCCTGGCCTGGGAGAGCTTGGCCTGGCCTTGCAGAACACATTCAGCTTCAAGGACCGTGAATTGGTCGGTGTTCAAGGACTTAAGGATACTTAAGGTATACCTTGTCTGGCAGCTCGCCGGAGGCTTTCGGGTGCTAAACCGGTTTTGACATGGATTCACAGCTGCTCGCTCTGCAGTTGCGGGGGAAAACCTCCAACAAACAGAAGACCATGCGGGAGGGCCTTTCTCAGGTCCTGTTCCACCAACCACCGGTGTCGGGATCTCGACGGGAACTCGGTGTCGGAGTCGAGGAATCTGAAATCACATCTCACCCTTACGGTCGGCTGAACAGCCGACCGTGGTGAGAACACCACGGTCGGGACCTTGTTTGGTCGCTCATGTCGGTATACAACAGACCTCCACGAGCTGCTGGAGCACCACCGCAGGAGTTCCTGGATCACTTCGGGAGGGCTAGAGCACATTTGAGAACAGATTGATGCATTGCGAGGTTGGAGAAGACATTTGCCAGGATTCTGTCAGGTGCCATCAGGTACCAAGCGTCCATCATGAGGAGTGAGTAGTGTTTACCTTCGGCATCCTTGCCATCAGTTGAACAAGAAATGGTTGTTGTATGTGAACAATCATACGATCATGGTGTCCTAGTAGAGCTTTGTTTTTTGGCTTGAAGGAAGCAAGCGGCCAAACTGCCAAACTCGAGTGAAGTTTCAGCTGCTTCCTCAAATAAACAGTCACGACATGTCAAAATGCAAGGTTCTCGTGTGAGCATTCTGAGTCGGGTACTGTTGCCCTAAGAAGCTACTTGTGACATGACCTGTGACCCGGTCGCCTCAAATGCTCGGCATCTCAGCCTCACACATGAACGGGGAGAGGAGAGAGCCTGAACAACTATTCAACTACATGTAGACTACATGTAATATAGTTATCAGTAGTTGATGAGTTAACACACACACACACACACACATGTACGTAGTCTTTTTTGGTACGTTCACTCCAGCTCTGCAGCACCCGGAATCCAGACGCTTCGGATCCACGCGCCTCACGCGTCACGCGCTGGACTACGCGTCACGCGCATGGCGAGATGAGATGGTCCTCTCAGCCGCTCGGTGAGACTGCAGACCTTGCAGGGTACGGAGAGTGAGACCCAGGAAGATATGTTTTCTCCCAACACTCATGGCTATACGGTAGCATGGCCCCTGAAGAGACCATGTTCCGAACAATTACCCAACAGGGGGTGAATTCCGCTTCCATGTTTAATGTTTGTGCAGGGATGGTAGCATGTTTGAGCCTGGGTCAATCGGTTCTGCCAGCTGCTACTGCTGGTAGCGCATGCTAGCGCATGCTAGCGCACTAGCGCATGCTAGCACTAACTGCAAGCTGCTGCCATGTTTCTTTTGGGGACAGCAAAGTGTAGTGGGGAGAGGAGCAAACGGCATGGAGGACCGGAGATGTTGACTCAGGTGATGTGTTTTGGAGGCCCTGGAGCACCATAAACCAAACCGGTGGACCCAGGGGTGCAACAAGGAGAAACCAGTGATAACATGTGAGAACCAGTGTATTCAGAAAAAACAATAGTTTTGTTTGCAATACATCGGGTGGACCAACAAAAACATCGGGCTTTGGCCACAATGTTTGGTAGTTGAATGTCGTTTAACATGTATTAGCATGTTGAGAATCCTGGTGTCAAAAAAGAACCGTACTTTAGCGGTACCAATCCATATGGATTAGTCTAAAGAAGCTGTCGATACAGAATACACATGGATGCTCACCCTATTTCATCCTCCTGACAGTCTGACAGAATATTGTGTGCAACATGGTTAAGCTCCATAGCCTCGGTGCACCGATCTGAGGGTGGTTCCAGCCTCAGCAGCAGCCAGCGGATCGTGGCCGGGCCCGCCCAGCGACTTCTGATACTACTAGAATACTAGAACACTAAGTGAAAGATGCCTATAGACTTAGACATCAACTAAGTTTCAAGAATCTGGGGATCTCTTGGGACTACCTTGGCTACCTCAAAAAATATATAGTCCCTTGCAAGACAATTTCCTTGATGCAGGGGGTTGTCCACTTCCATGTTAGTTAGAGGGAGGCGAATTCCTGACCACCTGAGGATTCAGAGGTTGGCACTGTTGACATGTTCGGCCAAAAAAACGTGCGTTGAAATACCCATTGACGCTCTGTGGATGGCATTGAAGGGCTCAACACTGCGTTTCTTAAAGTGTTGGAGCCACTGACTCCTACTTCTAGGCCAACATCGTGCAACTCCAGTGTAAAACCATGTAAAACCACTCGGGTTGACCAGTTCCTGGTCCACACTGTGCTTTGAACATGTTCAAACACCACAAACCAGACTCAAAGAAGCTAGCATGATGCATACCTCTAGGCCGAAAAGCCGGCCGTACACACATGTACGTAGTATGAAACTACTCCAGAAGACCATCTCATGCCCAGACACTCCATGTATGCCATATATGCCGCCCCATTGACCACCCCAATGTAGACATATATATGGCAGTCCCATGGAGTGTTTGGGATGTGTTTGATTGACCTTCGCAGCCTTCGCAGCTCGCCAGCGCCTTGTTCGCCAGCGAGGCCTTGGGCGGCGAACGCCGGGCGCCGCAGCAGCTGTCCGAGGCCGGGTGGTGGATTGGAAGAACCACGCGCCGTTGGTTTGGGGGGTAGCTAGAACCACGCTTGGAAGAACCAGCCAGAATCCCGGGCTTCTCGGATCCCTTCTTTTTTTGGGGTTCCCGTCTGAAAAGATCGGCCACCAAAAGGGCTGCCATTGGCATTTTCCGATCTGTGCGGTTGTTGTGTTTTTGGTCGTTGGACGGTCCGTCGAACGGAACATCCGTCGCGACCTGAGGAGCTGTTTGGGACTGGCGACCGATCGGTTGGTGTGGTTGAAAAGAGGTCATAGTTACGATAGGTTCCATGGATTAGGGCGTTCGGAGGCGTGGGTTTCAGCGTGGCGAACGCCTGGAAGTGGCTCACTGGAAACTCCCTGCGTGTGGTTAGACACTGGTCGAGACCAGGTTTCTCCTTTTGGGATCTTTTGGGGGTCGGGGGCGGTGGGCGGCCTGCTATGTTCGGAGAGAGTATCAGCGGGGGGTCTTGTAGTCAAAAGGGGCGTGGCCTTGGGCTGGATGAAAGGGACCCACCGACCCCCCCCACACGACATGAGTTCACCTCAGCTCACCTCGGCCTCATCCGGGTGGTTGGTGTATGGTGCGTGCTGAGTCGAAGGCGCAGCGACCGCGCAAGACGCCGCCGAAATACCCTTGGTGACATCGAATGCAATGACTTCCTCCTGTTTCGACAGTCCATGGGACGGGCAAAAACATCTCGCAGGAATGAGGCAATGCATGAAGTGATGACAGGACGGAATCTGCTCATTGAATCAAGGGTTCTTTTGGCCCGGATGCTGTTGGGAGTGGGATTTGCACAAACCTCCCATCTCAAAAGCCAATATAAGCCAATGCTTTTCTTATAACTTATAACTTTACAACTTTGAACCTAAAAATGACAACTTGTGGTCATTTGGGGAGTAGTTCTTGTAAGAAACTGCAGCCTGATCCGACTTTGGCCTTCAGTCTGCCGGCAGCCTGCCAGCAGACTGCCGGCCAAAAGCCTCTCCCGTCCTTCGCCCGGGAAGGGTCCAAGCACATGCCTCTCCGACCGCAGGTCCGCAGGAGGTTTGTTTCCAAGCCCAACCCGTCGATCCGACCTGCCCCGGTCCAACGCGTCCCAGTGGCTGCGCCCATGGCGAGCGATCTTCCTATCATGGACACCTGTGGCCTCTCGGAGCGATCGAAGACCCGCGTGTGTCCGAGCGTTGGGAGCGTTTTCTTCTTTTTTCGGCGGTGAGAAGATCATCAGGAGATGCGACAGAGACCTCTCGGGAGAGCGACTTTCCGGGTTCCTTCGTCGGTGTCAGCGATAGAGGGTGAGATCTCTGGAGACGAGACAGATTCGACGATGACGAGTGCAACCCAGGTTTTCCAATGACGATGCCATGGACAGTTGTCGTTGAAAGAGGGTTTGTCCTCAAATGTGGTAACGCAATGTAACGCATTGTATGCCATGAGGCGCCATTCTCTTAAAAACAGCTTGGGAATGTGGGAATCCCGGGAGACTCTTTCCTTTTGCTTTCACCGGACGTCACCGGACGTCACCGGACACTTTGCGACCCCACGCAACATGCCAAGACGCGCGCCGAGACTGGCCACCCTCCACGCCCCTCACCGACTCGGACGACGAGTTTCACATCGAGTCCTGCTCGCCCCTGGCGTATCGTGCCCGGAGCCGCTTCATCCAACGCAATGGCCGCCGCCGGCTCCGGCGCACGGTCGACGTGATGATCGAGGAGAGCCGGATTCGGATGCTGGAGCTGAAGGTGGAGCCGCGTCTCCGTGAGCAGTTCCAGCCAATCCATCTGGCTGCGCATTTGGGAGACTTGGCACTGAAATGTGGCGGGTGGTGTGACAGATTGAGTAGTAGCCGTGTGACAAGCCACAGGACAGATGTAGTGAGACCCAAATGAGCGGGCGCTAAAGATCCGGCAAATAAATGCCCTTGAAAAATGAAATCATGATCCACTGCAGCGCCGATGCCAAGTTGCGTCTAATTACCAACCCGGACCCTACAGACACGTTGCATCCAGTCTTCACTCCGGCAATTCGATTTCCGTCTTGCAACGCAACTAGGAGACCATCAAGCGCTTTGCTTTCTGCTCCTGGACGGTGCTGATGTCGAGCAGAAGACCTCCAAAGGCAAGTCAGCCTTGGATCTTGCTCAAGCTGCGAACCAGCAGGGTTCTCACGACCAGGCCCACCGGATGTTTCCACAAGTGGACCATGTTGCCAATGGCCAATACCAATAGACAGAGAATGATACAGATAAGAACAACAAAGAGGGGAAAGGAAAGACTGATAAAACATGATAACACTATATACAAGATTTAATGTAAAATATATAAGAAGAAGAGATGAAAGACATGTTAACCAACATAGAAAAATATGTAAACATGAATGAACGTTATTCGGAATATGGATTTATTATAAAGAAACATAAGAGAATGACATCTTGTATGTTTAACCGTGAATGTCACCTTGACAATCTTCTATGAAACATCGCATTCATATCTTTGATGTAGCCATGGCCTAGTAGGTCCTGAAGTATCACTGCAGCGCATGCAGGTGATTTCCATGCTGACCCTGCGGGCCTTGCCTAGCTGGGAAGATCGCCTGCTCGAGCAATTGGATGTTAGCAGATGATTGATCTCATTGCGTGCTTGGCAAACATGGGAGATTATTGATCGATTTCTCCATTGATCATTCTATGATTGATCAGGGCGTGTATGTGAAAAATGGGGAGACCTTCAACCAAAGGGACTCTTAGTCTATCTATGTCGACTTTTGCCTTGAGAACCCGGGGTCATTGGGAGGTGTCCCTATTGTAATACACACCTGATTCACCTGATCATGACTTTTCCTTAATTTCTTCATATTCATCGGCCGTCTTGGGCCTAGCGGACCAGCCTATTACCAGCCTTATCGACTACTGCGATTGAAGGCTGAGGCTTGCCGCTTGCATCCCGGACTCCCATCTGTACGAAAAAGAAATGCTTAAACACACCAATGACCTTGCCAATGGGCTTCTCCTATACGCTTCATGACAGCGGATGACACTTGGCACTTCGCATCAGTTGTGTAAGGAATTTTACTAGTTTTTGAGATTTGTCAAGATGCGTAATGCTTTCGGAGCCACCACGGCGAGATTGGAGGTGCAACTTCTACTGCTTGTGCGTGCAAAAGTATGCATAATTCAATAGATGTCAAGGCATAGCCCGCTTTCCAACAGTTAAGTCGGTAAAGTGTTTGCCATGGGGAAATTGTTGTCAACTTTGTGAGAGACTCTTCAATTCGGGTCACTTTTTCGTCACTTGGGGGCTTTGGGGCAGACCAATAATTACTGTGCCGCCATTTCCCCTCTCAGCTGCCTCTTGGGCTGTGTGTGGGTGAAGGGCGCAGAACGTGCATTTCGAAGTTTTTGTAACAATTTTCAATCTTGCAATTTCGGTATGGCTTCGAAGCCTCAAAGCATCAGCACGAAGACAGGTGTATAGATCGAGGGAACATGAGACAAATTTTAGTCCAGAAAATCTGGTCGGAGCCAAACCCATCATACAGCATCGTTCACATATTTTCACCACATGCCTATCTCTGGCAGAAACAGGCGGCGTGTGCGAGATGTCCGCTGGCTACCATGCTGCTACATGTTTCTGAAGGTGTTGGGTCTCAAAGGGTTTTTGGTACCCGATGAGTCTTCCATTCACCCAATGTCAAATGTTCATGATTTGAGGAGTGTCCAATATTACTCTCCAACAAACATGGATCTCGGAACTTGAACGTGCCTTGTGGAAGACGATTTTCCTCTCTCGCTGGCCCGGCCAACAACAACCAGAGTCAGACATCCAAAGAGATCCGAAGAGTGTAAACATACGGAGCTCCAGGAGCTCCAAGTTGTGGTGCTGAATTGATGGACGGACCTCCCTGGCCTGTGCCTTGCACGATAGTACCGGGTCCTTCACTGGAGGGTTGGGTCCTCAATGGTCCTAAGGCATTTGGTGAGCTGAAGATTTGCTGGGAAATGTGCATGGATGTTACATGATGTTACCGGCATTCTGGGAAACCTTTTTTTCACTACCCTGATTGTTACAATTCTTCCTTTAAACAGTGCGCCTGGCTGGTGATTGCATGCGACGGGGGGTTGAGATGGGTTCAGTGTTTCTCTAAATGCGCACGGCCACAAAAAGATATCAAACATAAATATGCATATAGCATTATATATAGGAAGCTCAGCATTTGGCCATGTCCACTCTCGCAGTTGAGAACTGATGTGACTTCACTTTCCGCAGGTGGCTCAGGTTCGTGACACATTTGACAGGATTGCGCCAAATCCCAGCCTTCAGGACGTAAAACATCCTGAACGGCTGAACGTTCCAAGTCAAGAGCTTTACCTGTTCCGCCTTTTGCCAATGGAGCTTTGGGATCATCCCACGATGAACACGAACTGCGGTCTCTCAGATCTTCCAACATAGAGAGAGGGAGTGCGGCAGAGATGTCCGTATTGCATACACTCCACAAATGACATGTATGCTTCCCTGAAACCACCCCAACGTATGCAACATTTGGCATACATGGAGTGTTTGGATGGCTTCTGTTTGGTCAATCGGCCCTCCAGTGGGAAGTGATGAACACAACGCCAAAGTCTTTCGGGGTCACACAGACCGTGCCTTCTTCTCACAGACCGTGGCCTTTGGCGCGAGAGTGGGGAAGAATGGCTTTCCAACTTTCCAACTAGGAGCAAGGACCTCCTGGCCTTACTACTAGTAACATCATGTAACATCTAGTAACAATGTTCGCTACGAACGGGGCTCCTGGCATCGCTACGAACGGAGCAGCGACCCCCGATGCGCCAAGACGCGCGCCGAGACTGGCCACCCTCCACGCCACTCTCCGACTCGGACGACGAGTTTCACATCGAGTCCTGCTCGCCCCTGGCGTATCGTGCCCGGAGCCGCTTCATCCAACGCAATGGCCGCCGCCGGCTCCGGCGCACGGTCGACGTGATGATCGAGGAGAGCTGGATTCGGATGCTGGAGCTGAAGGTGGAGCCGCGTCTCCGTGAGCAGTTCCAGCCAATCCATCTGGCTGCGCATTTGGGAGACTTGGCACTGAAATGTGGCGGGTGGTGTGACAGATTGAGTAATGATTGAGCCGTGTTCTAATATGGAATAGTGATATTTCCCAGCTGTGACAAGTTCTGGTGCACTGGCCCGAATCATTCACTGATAGATTTGATATGAAGATATTCCTCCGGCAAAGCCAGTGGGCGGATGTTTCAACTACAACAACTACAATACAGTATATAATCAGTATATATAATTAGAGTTATAATAACAGTTGCGATGTGACTGATGAGACTGAATTATAACTTGTTGTGCGTTGCCTGGTCACACGATGATGTGTGACATGATGGCTCTTGATGCTGTGATGTCTCTGAAGCGTGAAGTGTGTTGCAGTTCTTTCTTGATGTGTTGAGGTGAGGGTGTATAGTTGTCAGTGTAATGATCATGCAGGGAGTGGTCATGAGTGGGTGAGTCTCCGAAACCAGTGGCGTGCTGATGCGTGCTGTTCGTTCGCGCGAATGTCGAGTTCACAATCTGTCACTGTTCGCGCGCCAGCGAACGGGTGCGCGTCGCTGCCGACTTGCCTGTGGGATGGGGTCAAAGTGGTGAGCTGCGAAAACCCTTGTGACCATCGAACATCTGGGACACACGACGACCGACTACCCGTGTGGGGGGGTGGGTTTGGGAACGCTACTTGGCATATCTTGGCATAGATTCCACTTGCCTTACACATCCTTACACTACCTGCTGTCGCCTCTGATGCATGGATTCCACCTGCTGTGAGGGCCTTTTTCTTCTGAAAGGCGAAGGTTTGACATGCACATGCATCCCGAAACATCCCACACCACCATCCCACACTACCATTCGCCCTCGAAAACAGCTCTTAAATAGCGGACAAACCACACACTTGAGAAGGTTGCTCCGTGGAGCGGGTCTTCAGTCGGTCCGCGGTGAGCATTAGCCCTTTAAGATTACTGCAAGTTAGACCTTGACTGAAAAAATGTGCAAAGTCGGTCGAACAGAATTGTTGAAACATCGAATGAATATTAAAAATTGAAAATTGAACAGTGCAGGTACGCTGGGATGATCAGTCCCAGTATCACCAAGGCTTAGAGAGCGTCTTCGTTGGTGGTAGACTCTCTGCCTTGCTACCACCCCCTGCATCTGTACAAGGTGGAAAAAGCGGTCAGAAATAGATAGATAGATAGATAGATGGATTAGTTCCCTTCGAAACAGGGGTTGACACACACAAGAAGCCGAGGCGGCGCACTAGTACTAGTCAGGGCACAACTCAATGCTTTGCTTTTTCAGTCATTTATCCAGTCTGCTGAGTCTTGTTTTTTTCTTTTCCTTTTCCTTTTTCTTTTGTCTCTTCTTTTTCTGCCAGGGGGTGAAGGGGTGTTCGGGCGTGCATTGACTAAACGAGCCTGGATGCCACCTAACCAGCCTGAAGAAAAGAACAAGACAAACGAAAAGGCAAGGAAAGAAGAGAAAGGTGCAGGGGGTGCGGGGCCGGGCAGGGCGTGCGTTGACTAAACGAGCCTGGATCATACCTAAAAAGCCTGAAGGAAGGAACAAGACAAACGAAAAGGCAAGAAAAACAAGCAAAGGTGCAGGGGGTGCAGGGCAGGGTGGGGTGGATGCTCTTACGAGCGAACGGCACGGGCCCATAGGCACTGTCCGAGAAGCCGAATTGGCGCTTTGTTAAAAAGTAAATTGGAACAAGGAAACATCTCCGGGGTGAAACAGTTGCAGTTGAACTCTGCAGTATATTTCAGTGTAATTACAGTGAACTCTGCAGTAAAACTTCACGTGTGCAGGGTGAGACATTCCAAGCAAGCTGATTTCGAGCAAGAAAATTCAGTCGAGAAAGCTTCAGAAAGACTTCAGAAATCTTACTCCTGCGGTGAGGAGTGAAAAGGTTCTTGCAGTAACGGCGCCCCGTAGGGATCACACAGCTTACCACTGTGGGAAGAAGCTGCGGAGACACACTTGAGAAGGTTGCTCCGTGGAGCGGGTCTTCAGTCGGTCCGCGGTGAGCATTAGCCCTTTAAGATTACTGCAAGTTAGACCTTGACTGAAAAAATGTGCAAAGTCGGTCGAACAGAATTGTTGAAACATCGAATGAATATTAAAAATTGAAAATTGAACAGTGCAGGTACGCTGGAATGATCAGTCCCAGTATCGCCAAGGCTTAGAGAGCGTCTTCGTTGGTGGTAGACTCTCTGCCTTGCTACCACCCCCTGCATCTGTACAAGGTGGAAAAAGCGGTCAGAAATAGATAGATAGATAGATAGATGGATTAGTTCCCTTCGAAACAGGGGTTGACACACACACACACCCTAGCTGCAACATTTAATCTGTTTATAACTTCGAAGATTCTCTTCGAGATTTCCTTGATGACTTGATAAGCATTGATAAGCTTTAAATTGTCCAGCCCAGATGGATGCAGACAAAATGGGGGGCCACTGCAACACCGATGCCTCGTTGCGCCTACTAACCCGAAGACACGTTGTATCCAGTCTTCACTCCGGCAATTTGAATTCCATCTTGCAATGCAACTAGGAGACCATCAAGCGCTTTGCTTTCTGCTCCTGGATGGTGCTGATGTCCAGCAGAAGACCTCCAAAGGTAAGTCAGCCTCGGATCTTGCTCAAGCTGCGAACCAGCAGGGTTCTCACAACCAGGCCCAACGCTTTTAAGTCCACAAGACCTTGAAAGCATTGAGTAGACTCAGTAGACCATGTTGCCAATGGCCTGAACACACTCGGCCTTCCAAATGTTTGTGAAGCGGAAGTAGCATAAAATCAATCATAAATCAGGGCCCCCGAAGGAGTGTTTATTGATGGGCCCTTAAGGGTATCCATTTACAACCTATTGTGGGTCCTGGAAACAATTATTATGCCATTTGTCGCTTTACCCAAACAAGGAGACCTAGGTCCTTTGATAGCTCCTGCAGGTGATTTCCATGCTGACCTTGCGGGCCATGCCTAGCTGGGAAGATCGCCTGCTCGAGCAATGGATAGTTGCAGATCATTGATCCCACCATGTTTTATTCATTTGGAAAGGATATTTTTCCATGATTTATTTTTGGTGTTTCATTGTGCGCAAAGCCCTTGGCTTTGCAGGTTTGCACAGCTTTTGCTGTGCTAGTTCAGTAGGTTCTTGTTTGCTTCCTGCAGCCTGCAATGTGTTTATATGGGGAAGGTACATATATTGTACCTGGTTTCCTTTTTCCAAATATCCCTTGAGCTCGCATGCTCAAAGACTCCAAGACCGCCGCGCGGAAAACGCTTCTTCGACAGCGAGGAGACTCGGAGGGATTTTTCAATCGAACAGAACGAACAGAACCCGCCCAGTCAAGATGAATTCATCCAAGCCTGCGATTCGGACTGGGATCGGATGAATCCCTTAATTTTTCTCTTCGGTCCATCATTTCAGATGTGACATGTGCATGTCACCATGTCGGAAGGTTGATCGGTATACTTTTGGTATACATGTAGTATCTTAGGGAAATATGTCGAAATTATATACACACCAGGTAAAGAGGATTCGCCGAAGATAAAGATTCGAGTTGAGAGGGCTCGTAGAGACTTGTTGTGGGTTTGCTGTTTTGCCGAATAATATATAGAAGAATGCCTTAAAATCGGTATGTTGCAACTTTTACAGTGGACGGTGATTGCCAGCGTTTACAGACACAACAACAGACAGCGAATGCCCCGCTGGTGCCGCAGTGGGCCATGCACCGGTTACATAGTGCGCTAGGGTCGAGTCCGGTATCGAACCTGAGAAGGTGGCAGTGGATCTCGAGGGATCGGACACCTCACTCACGTCTGGTGGATAGTTCGGTGATGTTCGGTGAACCTTTCTGTTCCGGAAACAGCTCGAGGGCCAGACCCACATCATCAACAACATGAGGTTTCTTTGCGGCCAAGAATCATTGTCTTGAGCCGCTATGAGACTGAGCAAACACAAAACGAGGGTGTGTGTTTTTGCCAGTGGAACCCAGTGGCACACCAAACCAAACAGGTTTCCTGCTCAGCCAATATGAAAAGATTAACAGAGTAGTTTTACAATGTTTTACATCATTTTTACAGTTCAAGCCCATAGTACAATCCAATAATCATGGATTCTTAATGCATTCACTAAGCATCGATTTCGTCCTGATTTGTTCGGCCCGGTCAACTTCATCGTGCATGAAGTCACCTTGTCACTGCAGGGCTGCCGCTGGGTGGGCGGCCAGGCGAGGAGTTGACACGCGAGACACCCGCGTGGGCTGTGAGAGCTAGACACCCGCGTGGGCTGTGCGAGCTCAGTAGATGGCGCCGGCTGTGACACCCGAAGCGTTTTTTTCTTGTTTTCTGTGTCGGGGTACAAGACAAGTCATCAAGACGGCATAAGCCTACTTGTATGAGCTTTATTGCGCAATGTGTTTCAACAAAATGTTTGGTCGGAGTCGGAGAGCAACACCACATGTTGGAATTGGAAGGTCCTTGTTTAGGTAATTTGATGCCATCATGTTTGTAATTATCATCATATTATCCAAAACCCGGACGGTCGCTGGAATTCACGGAAAGTGTATCTTACCACATCTTACAGTACCCAGGATCTCAGTTTGTATCAGAACTTGGATTTCAGGGCTCTACGATCTACCCCAGACCATATCCGTGTATGGAATAGTCATGGATGGGTCATCAATGGGGTTTTCAGTATGCAACCATGACATGCCATGACATGCACGATCTGGATACACTTGGTTCGTTTGACCACCACAACAAAACGGAACGCTTCAGACGGAGCCCTGTGTCGACTGCCGACCCCGTTGGGACACCCCACCATTTGGGCGCAGCAAAGATTTTGGACTCAAATACGCCTGATTATCCCTAATTCTGGATGCGATCTCGAGCTTGGAGATTTCGAGGTTCCTGGCGTTGAAGATCTGCGAGTCAATCTGTCCATCAGTGATCATCAGTGGTAGGGTCCCTTCAAAAGCTGTAAAGGAAAGTAGTCTTCCAAAAGATCATTTTCCGATTCCATGTTAGTGAGTAAAGGAAGTGGAACACCCCGGAACACCCCTGTTTGTAAAGGAAAGTAGGTCTTCCAAGACCATGCCATCCACTTCCATGTGATGTGTTCGTCAGAGTGTAACTGATCTGTGCAGAGACCCTCCGTCCAGGACGCCGAGATCGATGCCTCTCTCGTGAGCACGGGAGCCATAGGAGGGTGGGGGGGGGGGGGGTGGTGGGACTGGCACACCTTGCGTGGGAGCAACCCCACTACACCCTCCAACAGGTCTCCGAAATGGTGGCTTTTGCAGACTTTAACAGTGGCAGGTGGTGACCTGTAGAGTGGGGTGCTGGGTATGCTTCGCCCAGCGAGTTATGTCATTTGCCATATGAAGATCCTGGTCAAAATCATGGCTTGCAGAGGGTGAACAAGGTGCCATGCTGAGCAACGCTTCGATGGTGAAGTCCTGTACTGCTTTGAAGGGAAGTGGATTGACCTGCAGTGATGAGAAACCTGTGAAGGTCATGAAGACAACTGACATTCGGAGGGCGCCCTGGGATAAGGATGCTTTGATGGTCTTTGATGTGGAGTCAGCTGGCTGAGTGTAATAGAATGATCTAGAAGATGGTGGACTGAACCAGACACTCCATGTTTGGAATATATGCCGCCCCGTTGACCCCCCAAACCACCCCAATGTAGGCATATATGGCAGTCCCACGGAGTGTTTGGATAATATTGATTAAGAATAACAATGAAAACAATCATCATCAGCATCAATTCAGGGATCTCCGAAACCTTTCAGTTGACCAGTTCATTTCATTCACTGAGACCTGAGCCACCCACAGCAGGCGTACACCGCAGATAGGTCTCATGGACCCTGAGAAGAATGACCCGGGGGCTTCGACCCTTGGGGATCGGATTTGGAGTGTCAGAACATGATCTTCACGACGAAGAACATGCCCACTCAAATGCTACGCCCAGCCCCAGAGAGGAGACAGTGGTCAGCGATGAAGACACTATTCGAGATCATCCATGGAACCAGCACCTTCCAAAGGCGGTCATCGTGTCCTTGTTCGGCTTTTTCATGCAGAAAAAGACCTCGTCGGATCTGAAAAAACGTCGTCGCTTCACCGGTGACCGAACGTCGGAGATCCAAGGAGTTCGTCTGTTCTTCTCCCCGGTCCGGAGGGTCCGAACCGGAACCCGGAACCGCCGCAGCGACCGGTGCGGGGAGCTCAAAGTAGATGCCGATCAGCTGGGGTGGTTGAAAAGGGGTCAATGATTCCTATAATATCTAAGATTATCTAAGATATATTCCGATTCCATGAAATATTCCATGCCCTGGAGTGTTTGGGGGCTGGTCAGCTCTGGTTTTGATCCGAACGTCCCCCCTATCCTGGCCCTCATTTGGCTGGCTATCTCAGGCGAGTGTGCGGAAGGCACCGAGGGTGGCAAGGTCACTGACCTGCCGGGGGCCGATGGAGACTGGACCCACAGAGCGACGTGACTGCTTGACCAGATCCAAGTCGTTTGCTTGAACATGTTGGACTCCTTGGATGGGACCAGCTGAGCAGCTGAGAAACACGTGTTGCTTGGAGCCTCCATTCAGTACTAGATGCTTGGCACGTTCCAACTTCGAGTACAGATGTTTAGCGCGTGATGTCAGTCGCAGTGAGGAACTTCCACTACAAGTTTCTGCCCGGCACCTGGACATGTACTGTAGCTGGATGTAGTGGGCAGACGGGCGTGGAGTCGAAGATTGATGTTTTCCGAAGCAATTTCGACCGATTTTGGGGCTTGACTCATGACCGAGCGACTGGGGGCGCAACAGGAGGCCGAAGGAGGCAATAATGCCTTTGTTTTATCAGGTCTACCACCCTCAAGCACCGATTGCTAAAAACAAGCCCCGAAACGATCTATGGAACCTCAGCAAACAGGTCCAGCATGGTCCAACGAACATTTTTTTGAAGCGTCCAGTGTGCAGAGTTTTGGGCATTGTTCCGTCCATCCACTGAAGCAAGACCACAACCAGTACAATACAGATATCTTGAAGAAGATTGCTATCCCATGCCAGTTCAGTACTTGTTAGTTTGGGGGGAGGTGTAGACGCTCATGACCACTTGCCAGTCCACTTGCCATTTGTCAAGAAATTGTGCTTGATCCCTTCCTCCTTCATCCGCTGCCTTTCTCTTTCAGGGCTTTTAAACCATTCACAGGTGAAACGCGTCCACCATGCATGTTCCTCCTCAAAGTTCAGGATGCTCAGGCGCCTGGGACAAACTGCACCGGTTTCTCCACGAAAATCCAACAAGTATCAACAAGTGGAAAAAGGTTAAGCTTCCTTTGAAGATGTTCCGCCTTCTGCCAGTCCCCTTTGGCCAGTTCTGCCAGTCCCCTTTGGCCCAGGCCGCCTAGCTCCGCCTCACCCCGTTCGTTCTTCCGCGCGGGCGCAGTGTGGCCGGCCGCGCCTCGTTCGTCCAGGCGCTGCATCGAAGGCTTGGAGAGCTCAGCACCTCAACTGCGGAGTTTGGACCTCTCCTCGTCCGGAGCCCTGGTGACGTGCCGCGCAGTTTCAGCGCACCGAAGAAACGCGAACCGAGACGTCAGGCGGGGTGAGACCAGACGCACTTGGTGCTTCCAGTGGCCAGATGTGGTAGGGCCGAGGGTGAGGTAGGTAGCTGTTGGGTCGTGACAGCTGTTGGGTCGTGACCACTCAGTGGCTGTAAGGGTCGTGACGACCTTCCGATCACACCACTTGGTCGCTGCGACCTTCCAACAGGCTGCCGATAGATCAACGATCAAGACCTTCAACAGAGCCCAAGAACCATCAAGAACCTCTATATAATGATGCAACGTGACAACAACGGAGGCGTTGAAATGGCTCCTGGTAGGGGCCCAGTCCTTTGACAACCATATAGACTCTCTTCCTCTTTGGATCCCGGGGATCGTAGACCTGTCCCATGCATCGACGCATGAAAACCGCTCGGCGATCCACGGATGGCGACCATCGCCAGGAACAACATCCGTGTCATG